ACCAGACCATCGGGCTGGCCAGCTGTACATTTAGACCGTCCGTCAGAAAACTAGCCCGTCTCGGGCGGTCGGACGGGCCTTATTTCATACACTGTTATTAACCGTGAAATACAATCAAAATGTGACGTTGTAGATCTCATTAAAGCAATACATTCTGAGATGTGTTACTATACGTTTCGAATCTACAGTAACAGCATCACGACAGTTACAACGTTGGTAAGTGATTCGGGGTGTGGTATCCAAGCACTGCATGTTCGCGGGTCCATGTTTGGTAAATTGATATTACAAGATGATGCGAGATGGTTTTAACATTTTAAATGAACAGATATCTTTAACATGTGAAGATTTGAAAATGTGGTGATTGAACATTAATAATATATTACATAGAACGCATTGTTTGCCTGCTGCACTATTTCTTAAAATGCCTAATCAGAGTCGTCTATATTGAGTAAGTAGGCAAGAATGATGCTGTTGTGCTGTTGTACAAAGCGATCTTAGCGCTAAGGTGACCGTGACTCCCATCCCATAGACTTAGGTTGTCTTAGCGCTAAGGTGACCGTGACTCCCATCCTATAAACTTAGGTTGTCTTAGCGCTAAGGTGACCGTGACTCCCATCCTATAAACTTAGGTTGTCTTAGCGCTAAGGTGACCGTGACTCCAATGCCATAGACTTAGGTTGTCTTAGCGCTAAGGTGATCGTGACTCCCATCCCATAAACTTAGGTTGTCTTAGCGCTAAGGTGACCGTGACTCCCATCCCAAAGACTTAGGTTGTCTTAGCGTTAAGGTGACCGTGACTCCCATCCCATAGACTAAGGTTGTCTTAGCGCTAAGGTGACCGTGACTCCCATCCCATAGACTTAGGTTGTCTTAGTGCTAAGGTGACCGTGACTCCCATCCCATAGACTTAGGTTGTCTTAGCGCTAAGGTGACCGTGACTCCCATCCCATAGACTTAGGTTGTCCTAGCGCTAAGGTGACCTTGACTCCCATCCCATAGACTAAGGTTGTCTTAGCGCTAAGGTGACCATGACTCCCATCCCATAGACTTAGGTTGTCTTAGCGCTAAGGTGACCGTGACTCCCATCCCATAGACTTAGGTTGTCTTAGCGCTAAGGTGACCGTGACTCCCATCCTAGACTTAGCTAAGGTGACCGTGACTCCCATCCCATAGACTTAGGTTGTCTTAGCGCTAAGGTGACCGTGACTCCCATCCCCATCCCATCCCATAGACTTAGGTTGTCTTAGCGCTAAGGTGACCGTGACTCCCATCCCATAGACTTAGGTTGTCTTAGCGCTAAGGTGACCGTGACTCCCATCCCATAGACTTAGGTTGTCTTAGCGCTAAGGTGACCGTGACTCCCATCCCATAGACTTAGGTTGTCTTAGCGCTAAGGTGACCGTGACTCCCATCCCATAGACTTAGGTTGTCTTAGCGCTAAGGTGACCGTGACTTAGGTTGTCTTAGCGCTAAGGTGACCGTGACTCCCATCCCATAGACTTAGGTTGTCTTAGCGCTAAGGTGACCGTGACTCCCATCCCATAGACTTAGGTTGTCTTAGCGCTAAGGTGACCGTGACTCCCATCCCATAGACTTAGGTTGTCTTAGCGCTAAGGTGACCGTGACTCCCATCCCATAGACTTAGGTTGTCTTAGCGCTAAGGTGACCGTGACTCCCATCCCATAGACTTAGGTTGTCTTAGCGCTAAGGTGACCGTGACTCCCATCCCATAGACTTAGGTTGTCTTAGCGCTAAGGTGACCGTGACTCCCATCCCATAGACTTAGGTTGTCTTAGCGCTAAGGTGACCGTGACTCCCATCCCATAGACTTAGGTTGTCTTAGCGCTAAGGTGACCGTGACTCCCATCCCATAGACTTAGGTTGTCTTAGCGCTAAGGTGACCGTGACGTGACTCCCATCCCATAGACTTAGGTTGTCTTAGCTAAGGTGACCGTGACTCCCATCCCATAGACTTAGGTTGTCTTAGTTGCTTAAAGGTGACGTGACTCCCATCCCATAGACTTAGGTTGTCTTAGCGCTAAGGTGACCGTGACTCCCATCCCATAGACTTAGGTTGTCTTAGCGCTAAGGTGACCGTGAGTTAAGTTGTCTTAGCGCTAAGGTGACCGTGACTCCCATCCCATAGACTTAGGTTGTCTTAGCGCTAAGGTGACCGTGACTCCCATCCCATAGACTTAGGTTGTCTTAGCGCTAAGGTGACCGTGACTCCCATCCCATAGACTTAGGTTGTCTTAGCGCTAAGGTGACCGTGACTCCCATCCCATAGACTTAGGTTGTCTTAGTGCTAAGGTGACCGTGACTCCCATCCCATAGACTTAGGTTGTCTTAGCGCTAAGGTGACCGTGACTCCCATCCCATAGACTTAGGTTGTCTTAGCGCTAAGGTGACCGTGACTCCCATCCATAGACTTAGGTTGTCTTAGCCATAGACATTAGGTTGTCTTAGCGCTAAGGTGACCGTGACTCCCATCCCATAGACTTAGGTTGTCTTAGCGCTAAGGTGACCGTGACTCCCATCCCATAGACTTAGGTTGTCTTAGCGCTAAGGTGACCGTGACTCCCATCCTTATAAGACGTTAGGTTGTCTTAGCGCTAAGGTGACCGTGACGCCCATCCTATAGACTTAGGTTGTCTTAGTGCTAACGTGACCGTGACTCCCATCCCATAGACTTAGGTTGTCTTAGCGCTAAGGTGACCGTGACTCCCATCCCATAGACTTAGGTTGTCTTAGTACTAAGGTGACCGTGACTCCCATCCTATAGACTTAGGTTGTCTTAGCGCTAAGGTGACCGTGACTCCCATCCCATAGACTTAGGTTGTCTTAGTGCTAAGGTGACCGTGACTCCCATCCCATAGACTTAGGTTGTCTTAGTGCTAAGGTGACCGTGACTCCCATCCCATAGACTTAGGTTGTCTTAGCGCTAAGGTGACCGTGACTCCCATCCTATAGACTTAGGTTGTCTTAGCGCTAAGGTGACCGTGACTCCCATCCCATAGACTTAGGTTGTCTTAGCGCTAAGGTGACCGTGACTCCCATCCCATAGACTTAGGTTGTCTTAGCACTAAGGTGACCGTGACTCCCATCCCATAGATTTAGGTTGTCTTAGCGCTAAGGTTGTCTTGTACAACAGCACCCTGTAGCTAGATAAGCATGACAAAAGTGTAAAAATATTGATATTGTAAAAAAGTCCGAACTCTTAATATTGCACCGTATTCCGGGTACCCAATGATAATATCCATATAACAGTATAACCGAGTTCATGTGTGTATGAACAATAGCTGTGTTATGTATATCTTCTAGATATCACATGCGAGAAGCTTGTAGTATTCACTACAACTCACTGCTGTTCCCGTGACGATCCGGGTTTGAACTGGCCTTCAGTAACCCATGCTTCTCATGAAAGGCGACTAACGGGATCGGGTGGTCAGGCTCGTTCAGTTGGTTGACATATGTCATCGTATCCCAGTTGCGTAGATCGAGGCCCATGATGTTGATCACTGGATAGTCTAGTCCAGACTCGATTATTTGCAGACCGCCGCCAAATAGCTGGAATATTGCTGAGTGCGGCGTTAAACAACAAAGAACAGCAACGACTCACTATTGAATACATCCCAATGCAACTAGCACTCTCCATTCACGTCAACCAGCCATCTATTCTGTTATCTGCCCTCTCTGCTACCACCGTCTCTACATCGGCATCCAGAATTCAACCCGCTCCTCACCCCTCCAATCAACATCCCCTCTCAGCAACCACCTTCACTACCCCTTCACCTATCCCATTTTCCACCAAGCCCCTCCCAACACACCCTCCTTTCACCCACCACACAACCCCATCCCTGCCTCCACCCCCACGCCACAGAAAAAAAATGTCATTATAATAATGAGCAAAGTGCTTCTCACAAGCAACTTCAGACGGCTGTGAAACTGATGTGACTCTCTGGCGCACTGAGGTCTGGGTGTGGAGATTTTACTGCTGCTTTAGTTACAAAGTATGTCTTTTGAAACACCAACTTTGATGTTACACTTGGAACAGTTTATCTGTAGCGATATAATATTTCGTTGGTAAAAGTTACTGATATCTGTCCATAGTTTGAAAGAGTGAGCTGGATTCTCCATATCGACGGGAACAGCCTCCGTGGTGCAGTGGTTAGAGCGTCCGCCCGGAGAGCGGAAGGTCTCGGGTTCGATCCCCGACCGTGTCATACCAAAAGACGTTAAAGTATGGTACTTGTTGGTCCCTGCCTGGCGCTCGGCATTAATGGGTACAACAAGGACTGGTCGGCTCGGAGTCAGTATAATGTGTCTGAGTGGGGTATTCATGCTTCACTGCGGCATGGTATCTCAGTGAGCTAGCACTATAAAACCAGCGTAAGTCTGGGCTAGTACAAGCAGCCACACATACACATACACACGCATGCACGTCGTCATATCAGCGAAATATTCTCAAGCACGACGTTAACCCAATTTCACCTCACCTCCATATCGACGGACTTCTCAAGCTGTGGTAATGTCAGGTGTTTAGACATGTAGGTACCCATGTAGATGGAGTTGGTTCTCGTTTGTGCTGACAAGAAATGTTTTATCAACGTAACGGGGATAACGTAAATAATCCGTAAATATTCCATAAGACTAACATGCAAATATTTATGTGCCTTGCGCCACCCGCTACTCGGCTGATGCTCTCAGCATTACCCCCTGGAGTTATCTCCGCCGTTAGCATTAAACATGTTTAATGTTTGTGATTTGTTACTTTCATATGCGATCCTGATGTTTGTGTAACGGCTGTTTTACACACATCACAAGTAAGTCATATTCTTATAACGTCCAACACGCGCATTGTCATCAATGTAAGCAGTGTTTATATTGAGTGTATATTGCAACAGTATTTTTTTTTTACAAACAAGAGGGATTCGATCTCTTACTGGGCTGACTGATACGCATCGACGGTGCGAAGCTATCGATAACACGTAATGTACCAAGAGTTATGTCCCTTGGTTGTCTTAGTCATTCTGCTGTCGATACAGGTAAGTAACCCGGGGCTTCCGTGCCACAACAAAGGGTTGTTCCATTTAACTGACTCAACAAAAACCATGGCCTACAAATCTCTGCAAATTGTCCATATTATAATACACTAAAACATTATCTTGCTTGTTTACTAGCACAATCACCATTTTCATCTTTATGTTGAGAGTCTACTTTCATTTTCACTTCATTTCATGAAGCTTTGGGTTATGAAAATATGCAGAGGTTTATTTGGGACTTTTAAAACAGGTCGCTATAGCCGTCAGTTCGTTATATCCGTGTTCGTTATAAAAGTATTCTACTGTACTTGATCTTCAGCAGCCCACGCCTGTCGTAAGAGGCGACTAACGGAATCGGTGGTCAGATTTGCTGACTTGGTTGATACTTCACTGCATCCCAGCTGCGTAGATCGATGCTTATGAAATAACTTCCAGAATTGTTTGTCCAGACTCATTGACAGACCACACCCATATAGGTGGGAACATGCTGAGTGTGGCGTTAAAAGAAAGAAATAAATAAACAAAAAGTCATAAACATCTTATATGGAAAAAAAATATAGATATAAAAAAATAACCAAAAACGTGTGTAACTTTATTACAGAGTTGTAATGTCCGGATTTCAATTTTTAAACCAGGTATATCAACATCGTGTTTGAACATGTTGTTAAGCGTGTTAAACGGGTATTTGTTTGCACGCTTATTACCTTTGAATATTCAGTTCCGCATCGGCTGATGCTGTGCAATGAATTCGTCACATTTGTAGGAAATAGGGTTTCATTTCAAAGTATTCACGGCAAATTACACTGTTGTGAATATGTCCCCACTTATTCAAGTCTGGTGAATATATATTCAAAGGAACAGGGAGGAGAAACAAGCCACAAATACGTGGGGTCATCATGACATTACCCAGCATTCATCCGTGACCCACCCGACACAGTCAGCCATATGTAGCTATACCAATGAGGAATGTGGACGTTCGGCTGAATCATCTTAATATTGTAGTGCTTTATACGAATATATCGAGATTAATACCCGAGCGTAGATGGCATATATATATTATGTTATATATGTTATATTTACAACACGAGGAACTAAAAACTGGTATTTCCCGAGCGAGAGCGAATCACGAGTGTTGTGAATACAATATGACATCTACGCGAGTGTGTTAATTTCTTAATTATCTCCTACTGTTCAGGGGGCTTTAATTACAATTAGCAGTGTTTTACCGGCAGTTCCAATGTTAAAGGCGATATAAATATAGCATGGAAGCGTATGAATACAAATGCGGCAAGGTCAAGGTCGCTGCGCACTGACTGGAACTGTTGTAGGATTAAAAATCTAGCGCCAATTTAAAACAGTCAAATTCTGATAAATACATGTAAAACGTGACACAGTGTCGATTTTAAATGTGATATGTGTTAATGTTTTACTGACATCTTCGCCACACATTGCTTCATGACACGTATTTACAGCGCCACACATTGCTTCCCAAGTCCTATATTTACTGGGCGAGGGGGTTAACGTAATACAGGTACAACTTAAAAAAGTGTTTTGTTGGCCATTCCAACGTTACCGTTTCGTCCATTCGTCGGCATCATAGCTCGTATGCCATCATTCAGATTAACGTTTCTGTCCCCGAAACTTGACATGTTGCCATATGATATATCGATATCTGTATTGCTAGGCCGAACGTGTCCATGTAACAAACAGGGACTGGTAATTGTCATATTGTAGTCATACCAAACACATTAGTAGACACATTTCGTCGCATTACAGGTGTCAGGACATACACTATGGCTTCAAGAAAGAACATTGATCTGACCTTTTATGGGGATATCACCAAAATCAGTCCAAAGGGGGCGTCTGCCAGGACAGCATCGCAAGACAACCTCAAAGTGTCAGGTGCGTAGTGATTGTGTGGCACAGTTAACCACTACAGTTCAAATACGTTCTCAAGATCCGATGAACCGTAACTGAAATTGTTCAGTGCGATCCTATTTCAATTTAGTCATTTTGTCAAAGATTAACATTTACTGATGTATACAATTGATGTCTAAAAAGAAATAGGAAAGCACAAAGGTGTGTAGAGGCATCTGAAGGCATCTCCCAGGAAGAAAAAGTGATGAATATCTACTGGAAGTTATTCATCGCGGTTAAATGGTACATGTGACACGAAATACTGTGTATGTACTGCACGTGTTAAGTGGAATGTTCACAAGTGATTGTAGTCACTGATGCAAGCATCCACGAGGTGCTGTCTTCACCCTTTTCCATTACACAGTTCCATGTCGTGATGCCCTTGTAATGCCCTTGTAATGCCCTTGTAATGCCTCATACCTTTATTGAATGTATAAGCAAAATATCCCCATGCGCTTGACATATTGGCGTGGCCTTCTAATTGAAAAGGTTATTAACGAAGTATGACTGCACTGCACACATACAAGGTACTGCACACATACAAGGTACTGCACACCAGCTCAGCGTGTTAAATGACGATGTTTGGTTTGATATTTACTGTTTTGTGTATGTAATATGAAACCTTTGACGTCCCCAACAGGTGTAGCCGCCTCGCAGGCGCTGGTCGATGCTGATGAAGTCGAGCTGAACAAACTCAAGGACATCTTCGTGAGAGTTGGAGAGAGCCTCAGTAGGTTAAATTGATCTTCACAATAATACACGAGTTTAGCCGTAGAAGAACATTACACTGTTTTGTAGTTTCTGGGGTTAGGTTATGTCAGTTTCAGTTCATAGATATAAGTGTAATCGGCTGAAAAAGGCTATTTCATAGAAATCCTAAATACAATAGGTGTATTGATACCATGATACAATTCAATAAAAAATGAGCAGTACTGAATCATCCACAATGTGATCTACGAAGCAACCAGACCTTTCAACCTCTAAAATGTAATTTATGTCGCAACATCTCTGACCTTTATCCCTATTTATCATGATTATACATGTTTGTTCTTGGAAAATCAATTAATTTCGTTATGATTACACAATGTCATTTAGAAAGTGGTCAAATGTAACATATGTTATATTTGGGATTACACTTTCTTTGTAAAGTACAGATTCTAGTACTTTTGGGATTGAGTCCCATCCGGGATTCGAACCCACACCCTCAGAGTCAGGCACCTAATCGCCAGCACACAAAGTCAGACGGCTAATTCGCTCAGGCCACCGCGACTTCCACAAACATCGATGTCGGACAACTGGTAGTCTAGACTGCGGACTTCGTGTTACCCCTGTGTACCCCTCTGATAAGTGTAAATTGGCACGGCTCCCACCGGCGAAAGCTATGATTACACAATGCCATTTAGAAAGTGGTCAAATGTAACATATGTTATATTTGGGATTACACTTTCTTAGTAAAGCACAGTTTCTAGTACTCTGAGGATGTGGGTTCGAATCCCGGAAGTACTAGAATCTGAATCTGGCAAGTTATTGGTTGTGATGATTTCTGACTTCAAGAGGCGGTAGCAACTCTACCCTGACCCATACATGTACATGGGCGCATGAGTTAATTCTCAAGTTCAATGTTTTTTATTCAGTTTACAAGGGTAACTGTTCGTAAGTCCCAAAACAGTTCAAAGTTAATTTAAACCTACCACTATTTTTAATCGTAGCATATATGTTATTTTAATTTATGGCAGATTATCTAAAATTGCCAATAGCTGAAAGGATGGTGTAATTCCAGCCAGGGTCCATGCAGGAAGCAAATGTACTGTAAGTCCTCATGGTCCCTAGCATGGTGATCTACCTTCAGTTGTTGGCGATCTATAGCCTGTTTTTATATTGTCTTGTCATTTATAGTTAAAGTATTCTAGATTTAAATTACTAGTTTTAAGTCTATTTCTGTGATAATCTAGTTGTTTTACTGTCCTTTGCAGACAGGTAAGTATTTTGTTAACTTTCTTTTTATTCATTTATATATGTACAACTTTCTTAGTCACGATATGGCTGAAATACTGCCGATGTGACTTTAAATTTTAACTCACTCACTCACAAGGCAAACTTTCCGTGTCTTTCAGACATCTACCCTGCTCTTATTGGCGCTATTGCCAGTCGGGAGTCTCGGGCTGGGAGACTGATCAAGTCAACAAACGGCTATGGGGATAATGGAAATGGATACGGCATTATGCAGGTTTCACATAAGTTTAGTTATAAAACAGTTCCCAGTGACTGTACGATTACCAGAATGAGAGAACATATATGTTAGTATCTTATTAGTACGTACATGTAATGCTTGATCTGCTTTCCGATGACAGAAATGTTATATGACGTATTATTGTATTATTTTTATCATTATTATGCCTATACATGTTTTCTGTGTCAGTGTGACATCAATACATCGGGTGTTGATTATAAGAAGCACGCCTGGAACAGCGAAGGGCACATCAGACAAGCGACAGAGGATGTTCTTATCCCGAAGATACGAGGCGTACAGAACAAACACCCAACTTGGACCAAGGAACAACAGCTGCAAGGTAGGGTGTTTCATATAGCTGGCATTATTCTCATCCACCGTTGCATATTAATACTAGAGACAAAACACTACACATGCTGTAGTAAAGCAAAGTAATGCAGAATGGTAACTTTAACGTGCAATGTGTATCTGGACCATTGACTGTATGTTATTTAAGCACGTATACACGATATATGACCCAAGGCCCATGATTCCAGGTGGCATTGCCGCTTATAATTTTGGAGTGAAGAATGTACAAACAGTGGCGGGGACGGACGGTGGAACTACCGGTGACGACTACAGCAATGACGTCATAGCACGTGCTCAGCATCTCATTAATTCTGATGGATGGTAGTTGAGTTGTTGTAAAGGGCAATAACCCTTCGTAGAGAGTATGTTTCCTTTAAAGATTAAAGCATAATCCATTCGAATACGATGTATACATATACCTGTATATTTCTTGGTACTTGCAAGGTCATTGACACTATCTAAATGGGTTAGGGTACACATGTATCTCGCTTATATTTTACCCCGTTTTTTATGTTGGTAGAATTACTTTTCTATGCATAGTACCCATATGCCATATGTTATGCGATAGAATGAGAAAACTATACAAGTACTCTATATTATGTGTTTGCAGTCAATTATCTTTTGTATTTTCTGCTCCCTTTATATACTCGTGGAAAAGTAGGGGAACTGGAACTTTCAATTTGGATAGGAAGTATAAGTTTTAACAATTTTTTCAAAGACAGACATCTAATGAACGCACCACCATTTCTCTTTATCACCACCCTAAACACAACGCCTGGGATGCACGTGCACAACGCAGTAGTCCCATACACGTGCATGGGGTGTCATTCTTGATTTTGACGGTTTTCAAGCAGGTCGATAAATCCCTGTAGACCATTAATTTTGACAATCATCTTGCTTCACACAGTGTTTATTTCTAGCCGTTTTTTTGTTTTGAAAATGAAAATCGTACACATGCAAATTTCACGTCATACACTTTTTCAAGAACGATTACTGTACAAACAACTATGGTCAAAAGGAAGTGCAAGTGGTGATGCACTCTCAAAACATTCATTGTTATCATATCAACATTGATTGGCTCCGATACATAAAATTTTTCAATCGTAGATTAAAAATGACGTTCCCCTACTTTTTTTGAAGAGCGTATTACTAATATACGCGATATATGTTTTTAAGTTATAGTATTCGCAATAGCGTCGCCTTTTAGCATGTCAGGTGCTATACGATTAAGATAAAATGTGCTTAAAAGGTATTTTTCATATCACATACATTTGTTTTATTCCTCAAAAAGGTATATTCTATATAGTCATCTTATTGTTAATACTGAAATGCCAATGGCATGTATTATAATAGTACACCTGTGTAGAGACTGTACACAGATTGCCTTCCAACTGACATGATATTATAAACATAGAATTATAAGTTTAAGAGTTCGGGTATCAGTTCTTCATTTCCTGGACTTCTAATGCTTTCCAAATCAAAATCAGAAAGTATTACTTCTCGTTATGTTTGTAACGCTTGCATGTCTGTGGCAAAAGTGGACGCTTCCTCCTTCTCATTTCACTGAAACTTTCCCTTGACACACCACCAAGTACATTTGTAACGTAATGAAAACATTTATTTATATTTATATCTGTGTCATTTATATTCCCTTACTTATTGGTGTTTTGGGGGCTATCCGAAAGTCATTTGAACATGATGTCACTGTTTGCTAGAATTATATATTTTTATCAAGACATAGTTGTGTCTTTTTTGTACAAATAGATTTGTAAATCAGTTAATGATTACAGAGTAAATAATCAAATTCCTGAAGATGTAATGGTGTGAAACATGCTTACGAATTTGTACGTTTTTCTCACAAATAAACAGAATCTGTGTCCAATGTGTGTTATGTATTGTCGATGTGCTCATCCAATGATGACAGTGCTAAAGCGTCTACAGCCTGGCGTGTGCTGAAGCCAGGAGAACACCGGCATGTTGTGTGCTCATCTAGTTCCACATTCTTCCCAGCTGGTATCTTCTGTTTGCCCGCCAGGCAGTTGGGGCCTAAGATATAAGCAATTAGGAAATAAAGGCTAACATTGTAGCATGTACTGGACGTGATAGTCCGACATAAAGGCTAACATTGTAGCATGTACTGGACGTGATATTCCGACATAAAGGCTAACATTGTAGCATGTACTGGACGTGATATTCCGACATAAAGGCTAACATTGTAGCATGTACTGGACGTGATATTCCGACATAAAGGCTAACATTGTAGCATGTACTGGACGCGATATTCCGACATAAAGGCTAACATTGTAGATATTCCGACATAAAGGCTAACATTGTATGATATTCCGACATAAAGGCTAACATTGTAGCATGTACTGGACGCGATATTCCGACATAAAGGCTAACATTGTAGCATGCTGGATATTCTGGACGATATTCCGACATAAATAAAGGCTAACACTGTATATGTACTGGACGTGATATTCCGAAATAAAGGCTAACATTGTAGCATGTACTGGACGTGATATTCCGACATAAAGGCTAACATTGTAGCATGTACTGGACGTGATATTCCGACATAAAGGCTAACATTGTAGCATGTACTGGACGTGATATTCCGACATAAAGGCTAACATTGTAGCATGTACTGGACGTGATATTCCGACATAAAGGCTAACATTGTAGCATGTACTGGACGCGATATTCCGACATAAAGGCTAACATTGTAGCATGTACTGGACGCGATATTCCGACATAAAGGCTAACATTGTAGCATGTACTGGACGTGATATTCCGACATAAAGGCTAACATTGTAGCATGTACTGGACGTGATATTCCGACATAAAGGCTAACATTGTAGCATGTACTGACGACGATATTCCGATAAAGAACTAACATAAAGGCTAACATTGTAGCATGTACTGGACGATATTCCGACATAAAGGCTAACATTGTAGCATCCGACATAAAGGTACATTGTAGACGTACTGGACGTGATATTCCGACATAAAGGCTAACATTGTAGCATGTACTGGACGTGATATTCCGACATAAAGGCTAACATTGTAGCATGTACTGGACGTGATATTCCGAAATAAAGGCTAACGTAGATATACTGGACGCGATATTCGAAATAAAGGCTAACATTGTAGCATGTACTGGACGCGATATTCCGACATAAAGGCTAACATTGTAGCATGTACTGGACGCGATATTCGATATAAATGTAGCTAACATGTAGCATGTACTGGACGTGATATTCCGAAATAAAGGCTAACATTGTAGCATGTACTGGACGTGATATTCCGAAATAAAGGCTAACATTGTAGCATGTACTGGACGTGATATTCCGATATAAAGGCTAACATTGTAGCATGTACTGGACGTGATATTCCGAAATAAAGGCTAACACTGTAGCATGTACTGGACGTGATATTCCGAAATAAAGGCTAACACTGTAGCATGTACTGGACGTGATATTCCGAAATAAAGGCTAACACTGTAGCATGTACTGGACGTGATATTCCGACATAAAGGCTATGTACTGGACGTGATACATGTAGCATGTACTGGACGTGATATTCCGACATAAAGGCTAACATTGTAGCATGTACTGGACGTGATATTCCGACATAAAGGCTGACAGTTGCATGTACTGGACGTGATATTCCGACATAAAGGCTAACATTGTAGCATGTACTGGACGTGATATTCCGACATAAAGGCTGTACTGGACGTGATATTCCGACATAAAGGCTAACATTGTAGCATGTACTGGACGTGATATTCCGACATAAAGGCTAACATTGTAGCATGTACTGGACGTGATATTCCGACATAGAACAACTCAGATATTGCTCAGTTTATTATCACCATAAGCTTTCTTGACACATCAAATATACTTTACGTCATAGAGATGAATTTGTTATATAATCTTAAAAAATCAAATAGAAGCGACAAAACATTTCCACACCCATACGAAGTCTGTACTAAAATAACAGTGACTTTACAATAAGATTATATCATGAGCATTGTTTATGAATCACTATCAAATAGTGAGGATACCAAGATTTCACGGAACATGTGTGCATATTCTGTCCCACCGATGGCACTCGTCATAAGCAAATGCAAAGTCTAGTCAAATGTTGACCTGAAACAACACGTGAACGTGTTGTATAAGTGAAGTAAGGAAACTGAATCGGTCATCATTCTAGTCACTTATGCGTCAAAATTGGAAATGTCCTCCAAATGGTTGATATAAAACTTTTGAAAGCTTTTTACTGAGGTCCCTAGGAATGATAAAAGTAGCGTGGCAGATGGTACTTCAAAAATGCAGTGTTATACTGATACACGTACCATCTCATCTCATTCCACTATCAATGAATCTAACGTATGCAAGTCAGGTGACATGTAAAATTATTTTAATACAGACATCAGGTTCGTTCCTGTCAGTTCTACATAGTTACAGACATTGTGTTATTTGTACACGGTTATACACACTATATTAACGTTTTATATCCAACAAACCTATACATCCATTCAGGCCACAACCAGCTATACCCGAACGTCTTTACCGTTTGAAAAAAAAACGGGACAGCAAACGCCGGGTGTGTTCACAGCGTCAACACAGTCGGCCATAAAGCAATCGGCAGTCATACAGGCGACACGTCCTTGATTGCACAGGCATGTTTCACACGCTGACGGACGATAGGACGACCCATCTGGATGGAATTAACCACCGAATATGCATCCATTCATGACAGTAGGTGCGGGTTTAGTCCTGGTTGGTAGGGCAGCTGCACTGCATATAGTCAAGGCAAGAAGAACCGTTATTGGCGCCACCATGGAATGGTATAATGTTGTCAGCACTCGCTAAAGAATTAGGTGACCTCATTCTGGACAAATGTAGATTCGAATGTGTGAAATTCGAATGTAAGAGGACAATATACAACCTTGACGTTGTCATGAGAAGGACAGTAAACACACCAGACATGGTCACAAGAAGGACAATAAGGACCAAAGGTATTGTCATAAGAAGTACACACACTACACATTGTTGTAAGACGGTAATGGTTATAGTGAAAACAGTACACGTGCTAGGTTATGGAAGAGTATATAGGTCGGTTTCAAGCATACAACTCAGCAAGATAGCTTGTGTATTCGAAGTGACAAATATTGTATCAAGAATATATATAAGAGAAATCTGGTTCATGGTTTTAAATGCAACTTGCTAGGTTTATCTTCTGTCTTATCTCTCAGACTATTGACCTGGATATCGGCACACGCCAGATCAGTTTCAGTGGCAAAGGAATCACTCTCTGTTCTGTTTCCATGGCGATGTTCGTTTTCTTCTTCGTTGTTTTCTGTATCGGGTCCCTGGCACCCACAGCTGTCTCCCTGCCAACCGCCCAGCCCGGATGCCACGTGAATGGCCAGTACCACCCTGACGGTTCCTCCTATCAGCCTTCAGCCTGCAAACACTGCTACTGTAGCAACGGCCGGGAAGTGTGCGCCATTGCTGACTGTTTCTTTACGCCTTGTGTCGACCCTGTTCACGATCCCAAAGTGTGCTGTCCTGTATGTCCGAATGGTACGTGGTGCTAATTGCAATTTCATACCTTGCCATTTTCATACTTCGATTTCAAAACACTTTTTGTGTTTTCACCCTTGGCAACCTAATGATAAAAAATGTGATAATTAAAATTTCTTTGAAGGGCGAAGAATAGTTTATATTAGACTTTTAACAAACATAACTGCGATGAAGGACAATAGCAAAGTTTTGATGCACCACATTACACTTAATATATATTAATCGTCGCAGTTTGAAATAGTGCTCACATGAAAGAAACTACAATGTAACATTATCTCCACTTATAAAAAATGTGAAAGCATCAAGATTAACAAAGAATAGTAAAAATAGTAAATAGTAATAAGTTGATAGCTCTTATTTAAGGCTATATTATCTAATACGTGATTAATGGACCATCTTGATATGCCTTTGTGTTTTTAAGGTTCCAACTGCTGGGCATCAAAGCAGATAATCCCCGCAGGTAAAGACGTACAAATTGATGAGCACACAACGTGTCGATGTCCAAATCCAGGATTCGGTCAAAAGCAGGCAGTCTGTACCATCGCAATGACAGTTCTTCCTGTCACAATACCATAGTCATCATTCCTCAATAAAATAGAAGAATTGTGTGAACTTTTCATTCGGACAGATATACTGATATATATATTGAGTTGTATACGCTCGGATTGATTCAATGATTCAATAATAAATCGACTCGTGCTCAAGGTGTGCTTCATTCTAGGTGTCCTCCTAAAGTCTCATTATCCATTCAGCTCATTTCACCTCCTATTTGAGATGACTTTATTATAGCAGAAACACACGCACTATAATACATTTTAGTTATGCATAGAATACGTGCATGAAGAAATTTGAGAGGCCCATTTGACATTACTATTCCAATGAAAAAGTAGGCGTGGTGGCACAGTCTAGCGATGTAGGCATTTTGAAAGGGCAGTAAGTGAAGTGATCTTCTCTTAACCTATTTGATTCGGGATACAGAGTAAAGAACAAGGTATATAATGGAGAATCACTTTATTACACAAATGACAATTACCTGCATTCTGTCTATGACTACCATATCACAAAGTAACTCATGTAAAATATGTAACTACTCGGAATGAGGACAATGCATCAGAGTGAGTTAAAATTTAACGTCACATCGGCAATATTGCAGCCATATCGTGACGAGGATTTGAATAATAAATAAAGCCGTAATATATAAAGTCAAATTATAAAACCCTGTCAACAAAGGACAGTAAAATAACTGACAGTAAATATATTGCCAACAACTGAAGGTAGATCACCATACTAGGGACCATGACAATGCATCAGAAAACGGCATTCACCCTCCATCATGGTACTGGGAATGGGGCAGCGGTGCCCTAGAGGTTTAAATACGACACCGCAATCAATTGTTCATAGTTGTGTCACGTACATGTAGATTTGCCAAGATCCGAATATTCTTAATAACCTGAGGTAGGTAGGTTTCACCCATGAGCTAAGCATCTCAGCTTGGAAGTACCTCTGTAGAGGAGTTAAAGTGGCATACTATCTCATCAGACATATTGGCTAACAGCTGAGATTTTGAAGAGAAATACCTCTCCAGTTATTAGTAACATGCTCATACTTAATGCTAGCGCACTGAATTTGGTCAGTGTCCAACGTCTTGAATCCAGAATAGTGCCAGCTGGCACCGTGTTTGTTGTTTATAAATGAAATAGGTATTCAATACGCACTAGGAAGTAGACAAGCTATAAGTCAATTCAAAAAGACTAGGAAATATCCTCTTTTCTCCTTTATGTATGTACAGCCAGTGTTCGAAACTCCTCAAACGATTAAGCCTGCCATGGATACACAAAGGCGGACAAATCTCATGATATTTCCTTTGGTTGAAGGATGAATGAGAAGGAAATTGCTTTCTCCAGGGTATGTAACTCTGGACAGGGTAGGTGTGCATGTCGATAGGTGGCGTTGCTATAAGGGTATGTAAAAGTAGTGTAAGCCGTGTACCTCATTCTCGCATCACGTGCAGCTACGGTCAGTTGATTTCATTTCAAACCTTTCAATGGAGGCTAAGATCGACGCCATTTCGAAGAACTTGGAGACAAGCCAGCGAGAGCTTCATGATGCTTTGTATACCAAGATATCGGCCCTCAGAGAAGAGTTCAGTCAAACCACAACTGGCGTTAAGAAACTCAAGGCGGACAAGGACTATGTTTGGTGGAAGGAGGGTAACAAGATTCAGTACAATTGTAATGAAGAGACTATTCAGTGTTTACAACATGTAATATCATCTATTCACAACGAGATGCTGGAAGAGGCAGAGTCTATGATCAGATCAGAATGTGAACGACTGAAACTGAGGAACAAACACATCAGGATGGCGGATTCCTCTGAAGGCGGTTGGGAGACGGTGAGGCAATATGTTTCTAATGAACTCGCTGACAATTCTGACGATGATCGGGCTGTCAGGAAATTGCGTCAGAAGCGGGAAAGATACGCGCCGTATGCAAGTAGAGCTGCTCGTGGAGTTCTTCAGTTAGTCGTCCCGTGCAGCAGGTGGCTAGCGTTTCTAGCGGTCCTCAGCATATCCAGTCCTTTCGTACCAGAGGTCAGCGTTCAGGAGCATGTTTCGCCTGTGTCGAGTTTACCCACTTCCGGAGAGAATGCCCCTATACCAGTGGCGGAAGTCAGGGAACTTCAGTCGGAGGTAGTGCAGGCCAGTCGGGCCAGTGAGCAGAGGCAGGATTTGTCAGTTAAGTATACTTTTCACGAATGTTTAAATGCTGTCGAGAATATTTATACTGAAAGCCTTACTGAAAACTATTCTGAATATGAACAGGGAATGTCGGAAATTTTGGTCAAGGGTCGGCTTAAACGCTGTTTACCATTTATGAAATCCATGGGTGCATCACAATTTGTAATCGATATAATTGAAATTGGGTATACAATTCATTTTTAACCAGACCTCCTGATATGTTTTCCAGAAACAACCAGTCGGCAATACAGCATGCAAGTTTGGTGACAAAAGCTATTGATGAGCTGAAGAAGAAAAAATTGATTTGTGAATGTGATACGCCCCCTGTTGTCGTCAACCCGCTCTATCAGTGCAGTCCTCAGGCAAAAAACGGTTGATTCTTGATCTGTCGAAAGGGAATTACTATGTTTCAAAATCTAGTGTGAAATATGAGGACTGGAAAACGGCTTTAGCCTATATACGTCAGAATGACTATTTGTTTAAATTTGATATACATTCGGCATATCACCACGTTGACATTTTTCCATCTCATACAGGTTTCCTTGCTTTTGCTTGGCCAGATAGTACTGGAATGATACATTTCTACAAATGTTTGGTGTTGCCATTTGGCTTGACTTCGGCACCCTATGTATTTACTAAGATTACTAGACAGCTAGTAAAGAAATGGCGGACAGAAGGTTACAGGATTGTTACTTTTTTGGACGATGGTATTTTATCAGGAGATTCGAATCTGCATACACTTGCCATAGGTCCTGCTGTCAAAGATGATATTCTTGCTTCTGTTTTTGTGCCAAAAGTAGAGACGTCCTTGTGGTCTCCCTCACAATCTTTGGAGTGGTTAGGTTTTAGCATTGACACTAATACAATGTCATTGAGTGGGCCTAACAGGGAAATTGACAAGCTTGTCAGTACGATACGTCATGTACAGAGTCTTAGTTCGAATCCGGTGCCAGTGAAGAGTGTAGCCTCTGTTGTAGGGCTGATCATTTCTATGAAATTAGTGGTTGGTGGCCTTGCTCAATTAATGACTAGATCTTTGAGTATGGATATTATTACTGCTAGGTCTTGGAACAGTAAAATAAGACTTACTGACAGTAGTAGGCACCAGTTACAGTTTTGGCTGGATAACACTGGGCGTTATGTGTCAAGACGTTTGATTCAATCAGCAGGTATGAGGAAGCTGTTGTATTCAGATGCGAGTGACACTGGGTATGGTGGTTATTGTGTGGATGTGAACAAGGTGCTGTCACATGGTCAGTGGTCTGATGAAGAGCGTGGTAATAGTTCGACCTGGCGTGAGCTTCAAGCAGTGAATATGGTTTTGAAGAGCTTAGCACCAGGTTTGAGAAATGAAAGGGTCAAGTGGTTCACTGATAATCGAAATGTAGTTAACATCGTTGAAAAAGGTAACATGAAAACACTATTGCGTTACAAGTATTTAATATTTGTTTTGAGTACAATATAGATTTGCAAATCCAGTGGATATTGGACTGCACAGCCTGCGTAGTGGTTGAGCTATTGCAGCAGCTAACAATAGAATTCCAGATCGGATGTTTAAGAGACATGGACGCTGGCGAAGTTAGAAAACTAAAGATGGATACATCAGGCTAAAGGATTCCCTCTCTCTCGCTCTGACTTTCTTTGTTTCTCTCGGTTGTGTAGCGCACAGCGAGCCCTGTGTTGATACAATGTGTTGTGTCGTCTGTTAGAGTGGAATGTGGGGGCTGGAGAAATGATATTTCCTTCGTTTGAAGGATGAATGAGAAGGAAATTGCTTTCTCCAGGGTATGTAACTCTGGACAGGGTAGGTGTGCATGTTGATAGGTGGCGTTGAAGGGTATATAAAGGTAGCGTAAGCCGTGTACCTCATTCTCGCATCATGTGCAGCTACGGTCAGTTGATTTTTTTAACTTAAAACTTTTATAAATCTGTAACATTTATATATACATGTGAATAATATAATTTCCTGTGGTTTCAGGGGTATATTTCCTGCTGGCTGAAGAGTCAGAGAATACTTGGTGTCCGCTATATTGTATATATATTGTATGTGTGAATAGAATCTTGACAAGAGGTATACAGACGGTGGTTTGTATTGGTGCTGAAGAGCTGTTATAATACTGCATGCATGCAATTTATGTGTTTGTGCCTGCTATTTCTTGAAGAGCTGTTATGATATGTTGAGATTGAATGAAATAAATGTGGAATTTGGGCTGAGGGGCCATTATAATACCGCGTTGATAATGAATTGATGTCACGTTCAAGTTGGGGATAAGAACCGTTATATCACGTGTTTTCAGGGCTGAAAAGCCGCTGTGATACTGTGCTGAGACTGAATGTAACTCAGTTGTATTCCGGGCTGAAGAGCCGTTATAATACTGTGTTGAGATTGAACGACTCGTGTAATATGGGCTGAAGAGCCGTTATAATACTATGTTGAGATTGAACTACTCGTGTATTCCGGGCTGAAGAGCCGTAATAATACTATGTTGAGATTGAACGACTCGTGTAATCTGGGCTGAAGAGCCGCTATAATACAATGTTGAGATTGGACGATTCGTGTAATCTGGGCTGAAGAGCCGCTTTAATACTATGTTGAGATTGAACGACTCGTGTAATCTGGGCTGAAGAGCCGCTTTAATACTGTTATAATAACGATGGATTGAGGTTGAGATTGTATTTAATGCGGGTTAAAAAAATAGAAGAAGATATTATTCCAATAAAGATATTTGTATGTATTTATATATTAATTGTGAAATGTGTAGATAGTTGGGCTTTACTCAGTTACTGTAAACCCTCCAGTCATATGCTGCTGCATCGTTGAGGGAACACGGTTCCAGAGTCTTTCTTTAAAAGTTTATCTCTGGTTTTACGTGTCGGGCTTCAGCATTGTGTAACTGTGTTAACATTCGTTGTATACATTGCATATTGTGTAAATAAGTATCTTACGGGTAAACTATGATGGGATAATGATGATGATGATGATGATGATGATGGTTAATGTAATAAATCTCGGTCGTGTAGCGCACAGCGAGCCCTATGTTGATACACTGTGTTGCTTCGTCTGTTAGAGTGGAATGTGGGGACTGGAGAAACACCGACTTCTGTTATAATCTGGCCACGAATTTAGTGGGCATTCTACATGCACTTTAATCATTTCCCGCCTACAACAGTCTATGCAGCCACAAAAACACTTTCCTCATTTGAAAGTTTGATTGCAGATAAGTATTTCTTTCACACGGAGATGGGTTGACTGTCTCACTCAAATATAACAATGTACACATTAGCTGCACAATGAACACAAACGACTTATGTATCCTTCTCCAATCAACTGCCTCCTGAAAAAAAACCATGCGCAATCACAGTGCCTTTGTCCTTGACTGATCTGAAGATTGAGATATTGCAAAGAAACAAATCATGAAACTTTATACAATTACATGCAAATTAAGAATTTCACTCACCGGATACAGAATCAACAGGAGGGACAGTAGCAAGACTTTAGTAGTGGCACGTTTTCAGACCTGCCATGGTATCATATCATACTGTTGAAATAACTTAACCTTTGTTGCGTACTGTTGACACAATGTTATCACTTTCATTGACATTGGTTTATCATACATGTTGTATCATGCCTAAAGGAAGATCAGTGCAATGAGTGAATCAGGGGGTAATATAATTTTCTGATTACGTTTTCCTGCCACCTAACATCACAAACACGTCTTTCATCACTAACACATCTTGGCGTACTCTAGTCGAAGACATGGGCTGAATACTGTCAAAACTTTTGTTTGAAACAAAATGACCAGCCAAAGGAATATTTTGGGCCATTCTCGTTTAAGATATCATTGTTAGCTTTTGAACACAGCACATAAATGAAATATACAGTGCTTCGGTGCCTTCCCGAGTGCTTGGCTCAATAGTAATACTTATATAATAAGATCCTGATAATTGACTACAAAACAAGAGAAAAAAAATGAAAGAAAGGCTCACTAATGCCCCTGATGGTCAGACCAATTATTTATAATGATTATTCTTTAAAAAAATACAATATCTGCATCTGACTTTGCCCTGCACCATTGCTATGAACAAATAAGCTATTACCCTAATCTAAAAGCAATCCATTTAATAATTGTAAAGTTGAACATATTTGACGTGGACCTCTTCCCGAATTCAAGAGATGTACTTTGTGATAATGTTTGATCAATTAAAAATATTAAAATGACACTTTTCACTGCACCTCTCGTATAGCTATAGGGGGTGATTTACAAATTTGTAAACAAACCATTCAAATTTGTTCAGGTTATTGGTTGAACAAAACGTTCCTTCAAAATATGTAAAGTGACGCAACTCAAAATCAGAAAATCGGAACTAAATTTTGCACTGCACATTTCCTTCAGATAAAGAAGCTGTTTACCAAATTTAAACACATTTTGACCAATATCTTTTCAAATTACTGCTTGAACAAACTGTTCACATTTGTAAATTACTGTAATTATTGAAATCTTAAAATCTCACTGCCAAAATGTGAGCCGAACCTGTCCGTTAGACACATGAGTGAGTGAGTGAGTTTAGTTTTACGCAGCACTCAGCAATATTCCAGGTATATGGCGGTGGTCTGTAAATAATCGAGTCTGGACCAGACAATCCAGTGATCAAGAGCATGAGCATCGATCTGCGCAATGTGTCAATCCAAGTCAGCGAGCCTGACCACCCTATCCCGTTAGTCGCCTCTTACGACAAGCATGGGTTACTGGAGATCAATATCCTAACCCAGACCTTCACGGGTCGCTAGACAAATGAGGTGGTCCCAAAAATGTGAAACAATCCAAACAATAGTTTTCAAGGTGTTGGTTGAATAAAAATATCTTCCTTTGGTATAACTAAACCAAAAAAGCCATTTTGTAAACTTTAACAATGATACTCTGATACAAAAACAACAACAAACAAAGGAAAAAAAAGAAACGCAATTTTAGCCAAACGTAGTTGATATTCATCCAAACTGATTACCTCATGTGAATTTCTCATGTTTGCATGCATCGGGAGTGATTTGTGTGGGTAAGATTAAGTACCGAAAATGTAGGGGAAACGTGAAAACGCAACCACATGGAAGGTGGCGGCCAAACACACAACATGAAATGAACGTGAACTTGTTAGGCTATAAAAACGATATGTTTCACCTGTTTGAAATCAAAATTGTACAGCAAGTGAAAAGTGAAAACATGATCCGACTGACAAACGATCAAGCAACGCCATCGGTCGTGGTCAGGTTTTTCACGTATCGCCAAGCTCCATCACAAGACTATGGGGCACGTGATAGACTCACCGCGGCCACCCCAACAGTTATTCACCCGAGGCGTCATTCAGACTGAGCAGCATCGTCCGCTGCAACGTCAATGGTGTCATGGACACAGAATGTGGCCACAACAGCGATTGAGACGTGTTTGGTTTAGTGACGTGTCAGACGTCGTAAACACGTCGCCCTCGAAGCTGCAAGCAGGAAGTGGACAGGTTTGTTGGCGAGGGTGTAATGATGTGGGCTGGCATCTCCCATACCGGTAGAACAGACTTCGTACACGTCAATCTAATAGCACAACGCTACAAAGATTACACTCTTCGGTCACATTAAGTATACATCTGAAAAACGAAAAACACTGTTCCTTTAAATTTTTCGTTTAGTTTTTGTGTGTGCACAGCTTACATGTAAACAAAATCCGATTATAAACGGCGCACCAGTACCCCAAGGCACGTACACCACCCTGACATCAGCATGCGACATTTTTTCTCCCTTTGAGTTTACGACAATCTGCCATCAAATGACCTGTTTTGTTACATGCAATACTACCTCTACGTCTGATACATTGTACCGTATAACAAACGTGACTCCTATTTCAACTAACTGGGGTACCTGATTGGTTGGTTGGACTAGGGTCTCTAGACAGAGGAATTCTGGCACAAGAAGTCCCTGACATTCCCGAGTCTGAAAATATTATACTGTTGTATTCTGAAATCTCCTGGACTATTCCTAGGATATAACCATACTTCCTGGAATGATCGATACCAGTAACGGGGTAATCACTATAATCACCCCTTAACACAACTGAGTAAATATTCGCCTACATGCCCCAGGGACTAACTCACTGGTCTTCGAAATAGCTACTTTCACCTCATGAAAACTTGAACTGACACTAACAACTTGTTATGAGAGTGTTTGAGAGTTTAAATGTTCGTAACACCGTCAGTTTATGACAGTTTACATGTAATGATGCACCAATCAATAGTAACTACTGGCATTTATGCAAGGCCAAGTCGAACTTTTGTTATCACTTTTGTTGCTTTTTACTTCAAATGGAACTTGTTTGGGTAGATAATGATTATCTCGGGCAGTAACGTTTATTATGAATGGGAGATTAGAGATACTTTCATAGTTTGAATTTGTGTTCTTCCAGAATACTTAATTTAGGCTTGACAGCTGGATAAAATAACTATGATGTATATTCAGTTATAAGCATTGCGTTTGAACATTGCATTCGGTTGTGTGAAATCACACATATGTTGTGGCTCAACATTACTTCGATCAATTCTAAGATGACATCAGCACGTGATCCTGGTATTTCACTTTCAGGGCAGTTAATTGCTGAACAAACACAGTGGTCTCCTGCGAGTATAACGTTTACAATCCAATCATGTTTGACTGAATGAATCAATAGTAGGGTATTGGTGAATATATGTCGGGGCTTACATAGCTGTGTATACATATCAATGTGACAGGACATAGATCCTATAAGTATGTAGGTTAAAACTGAATTATAACCTCGTACCCGCTCCACTTGTGTCGAGCATCACGGCTTTACATACATAGCTTTCACTGCTACATTACACAAGCTGTCTCGGCGTAGTGTTCCTCATCGTGACACAGGAAGGAATCCTATATAAGTATGTTTACATATGCAGATGCTATTACTATCACTATTAAAAAGTACTTAAATATGCAGATGCTATTATCGGTGTCCAGTTACGTCAGTACAAAGCTACTATTGAAAAGATCTCTTTTCTAAGACTGGTCCTGTACGCAGGAGGGTACCAACTATACTGGCTGCTGAACAGTTATCGCCAAATTTTAGCGGTTTTTACAAAATTACTCCGCCGTTCGTTAAATCAAAGAAACAAAATTATCATAATACTTAATTAGCTATTCACCGATGTGTCCAGTCCCGTTCACTGCCGCCGATCGTGTTTTTATATAATGCGGCGGATGGCAGTACAAATAGATGTTTTCTCACAACTAACTGTAACAGTTATCGCCATTTCAGAATTTCTCATGTCATTCGTGAAATAATAAACATCTATAACATAAAGTAACCTCGAATAATTGATTGTGACTAGTAAGGTGGTTTTTACAGTAGATTGATAGGGAATGAAACAATTAATGACTTTTGTGAACTTGAACTTGAAATTAAAGAGATCGTGTGACATCCCCCCCGACTAAGTTAAATTTATTTACAGGGTTCATAACTTTATCTTTAATTTTTTGTCTTATGTTACTTTCCGTGGAGATTTTTCTTTTTCTGATCTTTATTGTTGTCAAAAAATGTGGGGAAAAATACTGGAATCGTAACTGACCGGAACTGCGCACGCGTGATACTGATGTATTGGCGATAACTATTAAGCGGCGATAACTGTTCTGTAGCAAGTATACCAGAAGGCACAAACGTTTTCAGATACTGTCTAACACCGTTGTGTCGAATTTGAAGGATATACTTCGATTTATCCGGTGTTAGACATAACCGCAAATGATTACTTAATAAAGAGCACGCAGGGATCAATGTTTTATTTCGAGACAACCTCAAGTTCGACACATCAAAGTTCGAGACAACAATGTTAGACTGCATATCGAAACCTGCTCGGCAAAGCCTTCGAGGCTACCTTTCCTTTGAGGGTATTGCTTCCTTGATCATGCCCAACTCGATACATGCGGACATTCACGTACTCAAGATATAATTCATGGATTCGAAGCATAACTTCCAGTCTAGCTTTTCATTAAGTATTTTCCCCCAGTCCATGTTGGCAAATGTTCAAATCCTTGAATGTTTACGAAGTAAAGTTCAGCATTTAGTACATTTATTGCCAGTGTCATGTTTAGTGTTAACAACAATAAAGATGCGCAGTATCATTTCTACAACAGACAGAAGCGTTACCTTCAGCGAATATCAATACAAAACATTTCCAAGGAATTAGCTCTTGTGGAGAATTAAGAACAGCAACTTCACTGTTTCACAAAGTTTAGTACACTATATTTATGCAATTCACCGAAAAACAAGAATACCTGCTCGACATCACAAACACATGAGTTCACCAGCTTAATAAACACCGGCCGTTTCCGGGTCAATATCCAAGAGGTTGGAATTCAAATATACCAGAAGCTCTACTTGATGTTTACCGTTTTTACCTTTGCACAAAGTACGAACATATTTGAAAATAACTTGATAGGACCATCAATCCCTCTTTCTGAAACATTCCATGAGACGTTCAAACATCAGAATGACGCTGGCGAAAGTAATTCCAGCGGCACTAGCCACAAAAGCACTTAAAAAATCTCCAGATTTAAACTGTAGTGGTGTGTCTCGTGAGGCGTCCATACAAGGTCTTGCTTTTGGGGAAAATGCACTGTTCCACTTTGAAATAAGACCGCTCTCCGTCATGTACATGATCCTGTTATAAACAAACAATATAGCCTCTCAGACAATGACAACATATATATTGTTCGCATAACTGTACACATATACATGTACCTACATAAATTAGAATAGGATGCATATTAGACAAAATACTTACTCCTTTGCGAAGAGTTGTGACAAGGGAGATAACCTAGGGAATGCAATGCTGGAGTGCGCCGGCAGGAAATGTTGATGGAGTTGCGATATATCACAACGTTCTGCCATGAGGCGGGCTGTTGATGGACCACTCAGTAATAGCACATAATGTCCAGCAAACAGATTGCTCAAAAGATGTTGCCATTCCTCATCTGCACTCAGATTTTCTGGCATTTTCGAATGTCGACTCATCTGCCATAACTTCTGTAATGTGGAACTATTGGAAGTCTGAAATGAAGGAAGGTAAGGTATAATTGCAAAAGACATGAAGCATTGTATAAACCTGTAGCTAAGTATATATATCACAAAATACAATCTCGAAGATATTACAAGTGTAGCATTGTAACTAGTGAGTTTGGGTGAGTGAGTTTAGTTTTGCGCGGCTTTTAGCAATATTTTAGGGGGACGCCAGTAATGGGCTTCACACATTGTACCAATCTGGGGAATCGAACCCGGGTCTTCAGCGTGACGAGCCAACGCCTTAACTGCTTGGCTGCCCCAACACCCGACATGAAAGGACAACGAGTTATATATGTCAATTTGCAGTACCTTTAAACACAGAACGGTTGAAACTGATGTCACCTTGCTGATGGAACGGATGTGATTACAATCAATGCATCTTATGCCACTAATTGGCGTTCCCAGAAATGCCAACGTGGCTGGGTAACCAACAGAAGACGATGTCGTATTGGCCAGTAGCAAGATCATTGTACAATTCAATAATTTCAATTAAAAGTGGGTGTTTGCAAAAAAGATTTTTAATAGCCTGAAGGCGAGTCTGAAAATATGATGTATTGTTTAAATTTAGGGTGTATATTAATATATTTTAAGGCTGTTACTAATGCATTTGCTTCTGCTATGAAAATAGAACTATTATCAGGCAATCGAGGAGATATTGTTCAGGATCCAATGAGTACAGTGGCACAAGCAACCGCGCCACCATCCTTGGACCGATCTGTAAATAAGGATGTGTATGCACTATATTTAGTTTTTAATTGATTAAATTCTTGTTTATATTGTAATTCATTAGTTTCTGATTTTTTAAATGTGGTTAACGTTAGGTCAACGTGTGGCCTAATTATAACCAAGTGCCAAGGAGGAGAAGAAAGAAGACGGGAAGGAGCAGAAATGAATGGTTTAATACGTATTCCAAGAGGTGGAATTAGTGAAGATATTTTTTAATACAGACCTCATATTGGGGATTAAACACACATTTGTATGCAGGGTTGGACTCATTTGAATAAAGTTTTGTAACATACTGCAAAGATAGTTTAATACGGCATTGTTTAAAGAAGGTTCGTCTGCTTCAACGTAGAGACTGTCAATAGGACAAGTTCTGAAGGATCCAAGACAAAGTCTTAGACCTTGATGGTGGATAGAATCAAGTATTTTGAGGTTGCATTTACAGGCTCCACCATATACAATGGAACCGTAATTTTGATCGGATGAGTGATCTGTATAGGTGAAGGAGGGTTGAGTGATCCCCTCCCCACTTTGAATTGGAGACAACTTTCAACAAATCGAGTGCCTTCAGGCATTTGGCTTTAAAGGGATTTAATATGCGGCAAAAATGTAGAGAATAATATACGTAGTACCTTCAGCATAAGTTCCACGTAACTCCCTCTACCAACTCCCACGACGTATTCGTCCTGTTGACTCACTTCTTCCAGTGTACTAAACGGAACATATTCCTTTGTGATCGTTAGAAAGGCAATTAGGTTTCCTGTGTACACTGAAGTGATTATGACACAGAAACACCACCAGAATCCAAGAAGCACTTTGGACGATGACGAGTACGGGGTAACTGCAATGCCTGGTGAAATAATATTACAACAAGCATGAACTTTAATCATATGTTGTAATGTAACAGCACTACACGTTCTGAAATAACAATACACATCGTTCATCTACGAGGACAAATCAAAACGTTATGTCAACAGCGTAACTGAAAATGCAGCTGAATATAATCTCGGACGATCAGGACGGTCTTTCAACTGTAATTAAGCCAAAATGTGTAGTAATGGCATCATTAATGACCATTCTTACTTGAACGTGGCGTGGAGGTAATCAACATCACAAATATGGGGTCTTCTGCGAAACGTGCTGTCACTTGTTAAGAAAAAAAATGATTCCAAAAGAAATTCATGAAGACATATCAATACACTTGCAGATGACTGCCCTTCATATTCCATCGTAAAAAGTAAGTTCCTGAGTGTAAACATGGCAGAAATAGTGCAGCGAGGTGGGGTATGTCAAGATCACATGGTAGTTTGGTTTAACTGTGTTACAGTGTGGTTGGACTGTAGTAGGTGAGTGTCAGGGAGTGGAAATGGGTAGAAAGCATGCAAGGTGGTATGTAGAGGCTAGTGTGGCAAGAAAAGCATGCAAGGTGTGAGTTTTGATTATATTAGGCAGAGTGCAAGGGTTGGTGAGTGCAGTCATGAAAGTTGTCTGATGAGGATGGCTGTATTTGCAAGGTGGCTGGTCTGATTTCATGGCGTTATTAGAATTTGTTTTATTGGATATATATGTTTATATCTTGCTTTGTAATTATTATTGTGGAGCTATGTAAATATGGGTATTGTTAAATGATGATTATGTTATCATTTTGTCAATCTTCAAATGTTGTAGCAATGGATATACTAAAATGTCAATTCTCACGATTTAGTTGCCAGTGAATTATTTTGCTTTCAGTTATACGTGTTACATTGTGAAACAATGTTGTAATCAGATGTTTTATCAGCATATTCACTTGCCTGTGTGTTGAATAACGTAAAAGTTGTTCTAAGTGAAATGTAATGCTGTGATATTCATCCTGTAAAGTATAGACCGCCTCCGTGGTGTAGAGCGTCCGCCTGGAGAGCGGAAGGTCGCGGGTTCGATCCACGACCGCGTCATACCAAAAGACGTTAAAATATGGTACTTGTTGGTCCCTGCCGGGCGCTCGGCATTAATGGGTACAACAAGGACTGGTCGGCTCGGAGTCAGTATAATGTGTCTGAGTGGGGTATTCATGCTTCACTGCGGCGTGGTATCTCAGTGGGCTAGCACTATAAAACCAGCTTAAGTCTGGGCTAGTACAAGCAGCCGCACATATACATACACACGCATGCACGTCGTCATATGAGCGAAATATTCTTAAGCACGACGTTAAACCCACTTTCACCTCACCTAACCTGTAAAGTATAATATCATTCTGAGTATGTAATGCTGTGATATTCATCCTGTAAAGTATAATATCATTCTGAGTATGTAATGCTCTTAGTACGTTGAATGATTGTTATCATTCTGAGTTTGTAAAACTTGGTGTACATTGAATGATAAGTATATCAAATGTTGTTTTGATATTTGTATAGTGCCCGGGACCTGTGCCGGACCGTATTAAAGGCAGTACCTGTGTGGTAACCTCGCCTTGTGTGTAAGAGGCAGATCAGTATGATGGCCTCGACCTGTAAAAGGTGGCGTCTGTGTTGCCTCCTCATGTGACTGACCAGCGAAACATCTTCAGGATGGCTGACCGTGAGAGAGATTGAGGTTGTCATGACCTTATGCTATGTGGGAAGAGCTACAACTATGATTGAACTTTATCATCAGTGAACATTTAGTCCCATTCCGTGTTTGATACACGTGGTGTACGCTCTGCTCGTTTTTTTTGTGTGTGTAAAGGGTATGTATAGGAGTGATTGTGTGCTATTATTATGTTTGGTGATGAATGCAGTATGAATGAAGAGTGATTTGGGGTTTGGTTTTGGGGAAATGGTTTTGTTTCCATTATATATATAATTTTTGTAATATATTTCATTTATAACATTTCTGCCTTTGCCTTATTTATCTCGTATTGTGACAGGATAGGCCAAAACTGACGTCCATGTTAGGGCGTACATGTATGGTGCTGGCTGATCGATGTGTCAAAAACTTGTAGAAACTCATGGCTTCGGTTCTTGTTCAGTTCAGGCTATCGTAATTGACAAACCACACATTGGTAATCTCTCTGCAAGATGGGTACCGTGGATCTTGACATAGGTTCAAAAGGTTGCCAGAATGAACATAAGACAAGAACATTTTACCCAGTACTAGGCGAACTCAGTAAATATCTCTCAAGGGTAAACAGTGGAATCGTATCAAAGACTTAAAGTAACTTTGATCACAATTCATCAGTTGGCAGAGTTTTGGCTTCAGTTTCTTTGGACTGTAGATGTCACAGATTTCACACACTCAAACACGCTGCAGCATAAAACCTTTTGCGAGATGCTATCATGAAATATATGCTGAGGAAAGCTTCTTCCTGGAGTTTTCTTTATCCAGGATAATGCACATATGTCCGCAACTGCAGCTTACAGGTTTGAAAAACTCCCATCACCGTATTCTCCTGATTTTAGCACCATCAGAATATCCAAAGACCAATACCCCAAACTGAAATCACACCTTCGGGGTGACGTCTTAACTGCAGCAGAATGTTTTCAAGGAACCAAAAGAAACCCCTATAAAGAACTGCATTGCACTCAAAGGTAACGAAAATAAATATGAAATGTTTTACGATTTGCTTCTGTTTCTAACGTCGTCCGAGATTTGTTCTCGAATCATATCCATGATAACTGCGCTTCATTTTGAAATTTTGAGTTATGCCTTGGAAAAATGTTGCACACGGACGGCAGCCTTTCCTTTACCACCTCCGCTCCCAGAAGGCGACGGTGATAAATAATACATACAACAACGAATGCCTACCTTGGTGTAGGGGTATTAATATCCCCAGAAACGCAATGTCAGAAACTCCCATGCCGTGCTTTAATTCATCTTGTCTGGGATTCACCTTTTCCAGAATCAGAAACAGGATGACCACGCCAAATAAAGTCATGAGACCACACAGGTACACTTCCCACTTAAAACAAGACGTTAGAACAGCCCAGTGTTTCATCTTATCCTCAGTTTTCTTGTACACTCCCGACTGAGTTGAGTAGATGATCGGATAGCTGTATGTCATCACATCAGTTCTTTCTGTGCTCGCTGCATATGGGACACTTGTCATATCCACCTCCTGAATAATGAATTATGGGTTAGCATCATACTAACATTATATTGCATCTAAGTCATATTTCCCTAAAGTCTACCCTTTTCTCATTACAACACTTTTGGATACTTTGACTGATGTACCATTTTCGTGATGTGACGACATGACCAATTATTCGTAATGATCATTATTAATCTAAGGATTAATATTTAACAGCACAAAAAGAATATCGATATATATCTTAGATTTCAGTGTTGATGTTTTTGCAAGCAGCCAGTTATTTGCCAACGTCTGTATATCCCCAATTTTGAGTCAATATGCAAATCCACCATCGGATTGGTCCAAGTATTTCAGTATGAGATATGTTTCACTGATGATGCAATGTACCTCTCTCTGGAGCATTCCCACAATTCCGTTCCAAGAGGTATGATTTTTCTCTCCCCACTGACGATCTTCCGGCTCCACAATATTCACACTAGTCAACACAATTGATACACTATTCACACTTTGCTAAGGATCAAATCATGGATTCAACAGAAAACTATGATGTGGGACTTTAAATATCTAAGCATATTTTAAGCATGCATATTAGGTTTCAGCATGTCATTTCATCTTGTGGATCCCATACCTGCTATTGACAAGTGTTGTGTACTTGTCAATGACTCGTTCCATGATTTGCAAAATGGTTGATTGGTGCCATAAAAACCATTTTGATGGTTACTCATGTATCAAGTGCATAAGGTTAGATTAAAGTGGTTGTTTGTCTAAAGAGGGGTTACCATATTATTATTTATCCCGTTTTAAATGGATACAATTTCAAATTATGAATCTACATGTAAGTAAAGTTGTGAATGTTTGTGATCCTTAGCAAAGTGTGAGTAGTATATAAACAACACATGATTAAGCCCAAACTTAATTTCAGAGTTGTACGTTGTAATTCATGTTGAGCCTGATATGCATGTTTATCGTTATAGTCACTGATCAATGCCAAATAATAATATTATCTTTGAAATCCTCCTTTCACTTTTATTAAAGTATACTGCTCATGATCCTTTTCTTAAGTAAAGAGCTTAAATCTATGTGCAAAGTTTTATATATAGTGTTATTCTGGAAATGAAGTAAAGAAACGAAAAAAACACACAATTAAAACATCATTAAAGGAGGATTAGTTTCCTCAGCTGTTGATGCTATATTACGTGTAATACAACAGTTATTCTTACCTGAAATTATATGTGACTGATAATTGCTTCAGTATCTCCATAGAAACACCAGTGTACACAATCTCTCCGTCGATGACCTCTCGTTTTGCATATGGTAACCACTGGATGGAGAACCACACAAAATGAATCCCCTCCACAGATTATCAATGCAAAAACGAGAAATGCGGACTTAGAATAAAGTTGGAAGTTGTCAGTTTCATTACGTAGATATGAACGTGTTCATGAAAATAGTCAAATTTGCGGCTTGTCGGTTTCATACCCATTTGCTTGACCTACTTGACAGCATAGTTTATTCTTATATACCTAAAAATGATTATATGTTTTGATTAATTATAAATTTATATTCCATACATGTCCATAGCTGTCATGATAAAAAATACCTCCAGCGCTGCAACCCGCAATGTCCTCCCATTAAGACCATAATTCGTGTTAGGGAATGCCTTCAAATATGAACTGGATTCAACAATACCCCATTTTCTTCCATGAGGTTCCCACAGCAAAGAAAACACTTTCATTCTTTGTGACATTCCTCTACTACTCCAATTTTTCTGACAAAACAATAGAGAAATTCTTTTAGTGGCATTTCAGCATTTTGGGAAGTATAATATTGAACAGACTTTATGTATAACAACTTCTTTTTTGTGAGTGCGTTGATTCTGTTCAGTATTACAAACCATAGATCTCGCAATTGAAATATCTTCAGAAAATGAAGGGAATCTTCGATGCATCAGAAATCTCATTGACATAATTATTTGTTATCAGTAAGCTGTAGTATAATGTATACCCAACATATGATCATGAAAACTATTAACTGAAATCCGCAATGGCACAAAATCAGGTTTAGTGATAGAGCAGTGGTATAATGGCAATGCCAAGTAATTAGATGCCATCTAAGATAATGCTAGGTGTCACTAAATTCGAATAATACGTACCTTGCTGATCATGTTTATGTTGTCAAATACCACCTCTCTCGTTGATAAACAACATGTGTGATTATCAGTTGGAATAATTACCCATCTTGAGAAATGACGCAGGAGGACACCTTTCCCAACATCGACGTCCAGTTGGTGAGTCTACAATGCCGTTTACAAACATTTGTTGGTTTTTAATAACAGTAGTATCATACTGGATGTTATGACCGCCCACAATCCTGACGGACGAATGAAAGGGGGAAGGGGATAGAAGATTCCAACGTCGACGTTTTCGGGAGTGCCTAATACCACCATGACACGCCAAACATTTATTTAGTCGCGGATATATATTGCTTACGACTCTCCCGATGACGGTTTTGGGGAGTCTGTCCTACTCTTCTTGCAGCGCCTGACCAAGTTCAGTCAACGTGATCGGCTATCTATAGCGTTTATTCACTTGTTTCCATTTTTCCGTTTGTTGGTACTAGGTATATAATCAGTTAATCGCAGACTGTCAAACATTGACGTATTGGCCACTGCATGCTGACATATACCAGTTTCCAGCATTCGAGTAGCCAGTAGACGCCTCATTAGTTCATGCATAACAAATATATGATATGCAGAATGAATAGGATTGACAGAAATAAAGGCTCACGGAGATAAATCGACAATCCTTGAAAACTGCATGCGGCAAGTGGACACAAGATTATGTGTTTGGGTGTTCAGTATTACAGGCTTGGAAGTTCTAAAAACAGGATGTTTATTGTCAACACTTATTTTTGTTCTGATGCGTGGTATTGTATTTATAGTTTATGATCCCTTATTTTTTAAAGAGTATAATAATTCACGTAGATATTCTGATCAGTAGAGGAAGTGGAAGCAGAACACAAGTAGAGGCAGTAAAATAATAAAATCAGCTTACAAAAGCAGCAATTAAATGAATAGTTCTTTGTGTGTAGTTCTATGTTATTATGAACGCTTGACCATGGAACTATACAAATTATACATTTATATCAGTCCAATAGCACACAATGAGTACTTACTTGTATCATTAGTTTGTTGATACAATCACAGCTGCAAACCACAAGGAAGTTCAAGTACTTCCAAAATGCATCGATACTTTGCCTTTTCAAGAGCGGATGTACTACTGCTTCTGTTGTTGCCATATAAGTATCAGTTGTACTGAAAACAATATGGATGTCGCGCTTGTTTTTGAAAAATGGCTCTGTCGAAGCTGGAAGGAAATGGTGAAATACCAGCATCGGTTTTGACAAACTCCATGGAGAAGGTTATTGAGGCTGGGGGTGGGGAGACGGTAGTATCTACGCCTGATTGTTATTACAATCAGAATATACACATCCCTCCACGTCATGTTACATTCAGTATATACACATCCCTCCACGTCATGTTACATTCTGTATATACACATCCCTCCACGTCATGTTACATTCAGTATATACACATCCCTGCACGTCATGTTACATTCAGTATATACACATCCCTGCACGTCATGTTACATTCCGTATATACACATCCCTCAACGTCATGTAACATTCAGTATATACACATCCCCCCAAGTCATGTTACATTCTGTATATACACATCCCTCCACGTCATGTTACATTCTGTATATACACATCCCTCCACGTCATGTTACATTCAGTATATACACATCCCTCCACGTCATGTTACATTCTGTATATACACATCCCCTCCACGTCATGTTACATTCAGTATACACACATCCCCCCCAAGTCATGTTACATTCAGTAAACACATCCCTCCACGTCATGTTACATTCAGTATATACACATCCCCCCGACGTCATGTTACATTCCGTATATACACATCCCCCCCAAGTCATGTTACATTCAGTAAACACATCCCTCCACGTCATGTTACATTCTGTATATACACATCCCTGCACGTCATGTTACATTCAGTATATACACATCCCTCCACGTCATGTTACATTCAGTATATACACATCCCTCCACGTCATGTTACATTCTGTATATACACATCCCTCCGCTTAATGTTACATTCTGTATATACACATCCCTCAATGTCATGTTGCATTCAGTATATACACATCCCCTCCACGTCATGTTACATTCAGTATATACACATCCCTCCACGTCATGTTACATTCTGTATATACACATCCCTCCACGTCATGTTACATTCAGTATATACACATCCCCCCCAAGTCATGTTACATTCAGTAAACACATCCCTCCACGTCATGTTACATTCAGTAGTATATACACATCCCCCGACGTCATGTTACATTCCGTATATACACATCCCCCCCAAGTCATGTTACATTCAGTAAACACATCCCTCCACGTCATGTTACATTCTGTATATACACATCCCTCCACGTCATGTCACATTCAGTATAAACACATCCCCTCCACGTCATGTTACATTCCGTATATACACATCCCCCCCAAGTCATGTTACATTCAGTAAACACATCCCTCCACGTCATGTTACATTCTGTATATACACATCCCTGCACGTCATGTTACATTCAGTATATACACATCCCTCCACGTCATGTTACATTCAGTATATACACATCCCTCCACGTCATGTTACATTCTGTATATACACATCCCTCCACTTAATGTTACATTCTGTATATACACATCCCTCAATGTCATGTTGCATTCAGTATATACACATCCCCTCCACGTCATGTTACATTCCGTATATACACATCCCTCAATGTCATGTAACATTCAGTATATACACATCCCTGCACGTCATGTTACATTTTGTATATACACATCCCCTCCACGTCATGTTACATTCTGTATATACACATCCCTGCACGTCATGTTACATTCTGTATATACACATCTCCTCCCTCCACGTCATGTTACATTCTGTATATACACATCCCTTCCACTTAATGTTACATTCTGTATATACACATCCCTCAATGTCATGTTGCATTCAGTATATACACATCCCCTCCACGTCATGTTACATTCAGTATATACACATCCCCCCCAAGTCATGTTACATTCAGTAAACACATCCCTCCACGTGATGTTACATTCAGTATATACACATCCCTCCACGTCATGTTACATTCTGTATATACACATCCCCTCCACTTAATGTTACATTCTGTATATACACATCCCTCAATGTCATGTTGCATTCAGTATATACACATCCCCTCCACGTCATGTTACATTCCGTATATACACATCCCTCAATGTCATGTAACATTCAGTATATACACATCCCTGCACGTCATGTTACATTCAGTATATACACATCCCTCCACGTCATGTTACATTCAGTATATACACATCCCTCCACGTCATGTTACATTCTGTATATACACATCCCTCCACGTCATGTTACATTCTGTATAACATCCTCCCACGTCATGTTACATTCAGTATATACACATCCCTCCACGTCATGTTACATTCCGTATATACACATCCCTCCACGTCATGTTACATTCCGTATATACACATCCCTCCACGTCATGTTACATTCCGTATATACACATCCCTCCACGTCATGTTACATTCCGTATATACACATCCCCTCCACGTCATGTTACATTCCGTATATACACATCCTCTACTTAATGTTACATTTTGTATATACACATCCCTCCACGTCATGTTACATTCCTCCTTGACAACGGTACTAGAATCTGTATCGATCTGTTGCACTAATGAAATGAAAGAAGTTATTATCAATTGGGTTTGTCAAAATTGTACTTCCCAACTTCTATAATGCAACTCAAAAAGTCAGCATCAGCTTAAAGAGTAATTTAGTTCGTATATAACATGTACTTCTATTACAGTACTGGCAGTGATGTGAACATGGTGAAACGAAACTGTCTGATTACTAAATGCACAAAGACTTACTAAGGTAAGCTGTAGAGAAAACCGTACCTAATAGATAATCACTTGTGACTGCTATCAAGTGTGATATAGAGGACTCGGTTAGCAGCTGGTTCGCAAGAGAGACTGCTTCAACATTGTCACCATAGGCATTGTGTCTTTGCTCTGAAAGCAGACACTGTGTAGCAGTTTGCTGAAAAATACCTTGGTGGCATTGTACTCTGGTATTTGAAAACCAATCTATCAAAATAGACAGACTATTTTACATTTATAGGGAGAATGAAACAAATGATGCACCACTTAATTACCACTTAATTACCAATTTCGTGGAATATTTCTGATTGCGGTGATCCACTCGTTTTAGTAAATGGTGTTATGATGATGCAGTAATATTTGGTGCATCATTTGTTTCAAATGCCAGAATCATAGTATTTGAATGTAAACTAATGTATACAGGCAGAATACATTTACCTTCCTCGCAAGTAAATCCAAGGACGTCTATAAACGCACATGGAATGCTTAGAAGAAATGCGCTATACATGTACATCCCTGGCGTGTGCATAGTATGTGAGAGACGTCAACTGTACCATATGGCTCCAGACATTGGTGTGTCTATCTGTTCGACATCAAGCTTTAACAGCTGAAGCGAATCACAAACCAGTACACATACTAAGTATGTTTGATGATAACGAAACACAGTGCCTGAAATGTATTAAATATTGTTTAACTCTCCCATTAAAATTGTTTTCATTGACTCTGTATTCAATAATCGATATGTACTTTCACTATTTTAAAGATCGATTCAGCAATGTGTCCTTAATGTGGGAATCAATTTGACATGTACTTGATGGAAACAACTGAATAATCACACATCCATCTGCTTTGTCAATATTTCAACAGCACCGGTAAGGGAGATAATGCACGCTCGCCACCGGTACCTGCTACGACGGGTCTTATGGAAGAACAATCTTGTTGAAACTGACAAACACGTATTTAATTGCATGATATAGCATTCATTGCTTATGAGCCATCCTTTAACATTTGGTGCGTGCGTGTTCGTGTGTGCGCGTGTATGCGCCCGTGTGTGTGTTGCAGGTGCAAAGGGTCGTAGAATGAAGAGTTTTGCTTCAAAATGATATACAGTGACTGACTAAGAGTAGATCTGTGTTTCGACACGAAAGTAATTCCATATATTCTCTGTTTGAAAGAGAAAACATATCGATATTCATGTTCATGCGGTACATGCCTACTTTTTCATAAAGCAAACACTCTGTGAACGTCCTTCCTACTGATAGCTCTCAGTGCAACATAATCAATTCTGGGAATGCCATCCTTATTGCAGCCATTCAATGAAACCGTGATCATGTTGGAAATGTATGCAGGAACATAGGCCTGGACTCACATGGGATCCGAAAGATCAATAACCATAACCGTAAAAGCTTTACCGAGTGTTTTATCAACATGCACTTCCATAATTAAACACAGTTAGAAAACGTCGTAATGTACATCCAATGGTTAAACTGACGCTTTCCATATCAAGATTACAATCTCATGTATACAGTCGAAACAGTCACGAATACCACGAACCTAAGGCTAACATAATCACTGGTTTGTGTTAGAAGTGGCAGGGCATTTCCTGACGTTAGGAAAAGTGTTAGTTTTAATGTTAATGCCACACTGATAGAATAGATCGCCGTGTGTGATGATACGCAATTTCGGAACCTGAAATTTCACAATAGAACGAAATAAATGTCTGCGTCATCAAAACTAGTTGCATCTTTCAAATGAAGGGCATTTAGAAGTTGAATACATAAGAAAAACAATATTTATGGATGTCAACTTCTTTATTGTGAATACGATATGGCTGAAATATTGCCGATGTGACGTTAAATAATAACTCACTCACTCACTTATTGTTAATAAATATAAACGTTTCGGAGTATATGCTTGCTTCTTCATCACCTGATAAAAGAGCTTGCATACACTCCGAAACGTCGTGTTTATTCACAATAAAGAAGTTGACATTTATAAATCTTGCTTTTCTTGGTGGTATCTTTAATCGACAAATGTGGAAACAAACCGCTAGTCTCCCATTAGCTATTCAATACACGTATAGCCATTGTTTTAAACACTGGCATACCTCTTAGATGCATTAGAAATAAGCCCTATGCACGAGGCATTGTAGCCAGTACTGTGTGTCGCGTGTATGTAAAAACACAACAACACACTTTAATTCTCTAAACAGGCTTGATTACAGAAGGATGATCTGTTTATCGACGTTCTTTACAGACATTTTCACAAGTCTAGTTGCAAACGTAACATCATACGTCGTTGATACCACATTTACTTCTCTGCACTGTGTACATCGATGACACTTGATTAAAAATAGTATCCTACAAATCGAGTTTTTACGCTATTCCTATCAAAGTGACTGAGCACAGGTTGGTATCCCGAATTCCCACACATTACTATAATTTCACTTTGGAGAAGTAGTCATAAGAATATAATTCCTTTTATATTGATGGATATTTACACTAAACAATGAGACATTCCCTATGTTGAGAGACTGTTTGGCTTACAGCACAATTCATATTTACGAAGGTTTTAAGGTTTTTATTTTCTCAACTTTCACCAACGGTGGTACATGAGTGAAGTGGAAAAACGTTATATACACGTATACACCAAGATGGCATCGGAGAGATATAATTAGACACCAGTCTGATTACAAATTGGAATGTTTTCACATTTAATCCGCTTAAATACGAGGAGTAGTCCCCAATCTGTAAATACTGTAACAATAGCTGGATTGTCTCCATCCAATAATTGCAATGTCTTATATAATTTATCATAGCTCAGAATATGACCGTGTAGTGACAAGGCCCGCCCACTGTTGTTAGAACAGTTTTAGATATTATACATCAAAGCAGTTGAGTAAGGAAAATGTTTGATAAAAAATATTTGTTTTGGAGTGAATGAATGTTTAATTGATTTCAGGGTAAACATGTCGATTATTGTCTGGAAATGTTTGCTGCCTATTCGGTTGTCATGTGTACCTTTTCCACAACCCCATTGATGCAGTGATGCAGTGGAGTGCCAGCTATGATGATATCTGCGGCGGAGAACATTATTCAGTCATTCCCATATCAACATGACAAGCAAAGCTCTTTATGTTAAGTCTATTGCTTCTCAATATTTTCTGTAGTGATTAATGTCAGGAGAGCATTTCCTTTTGGTATAATAGTGAGTGAGTTAGTTTAGTATTACGCCGCACTCAGCAATAATCCAGCTATATGACGGCGGTCTGTAAATAATCGAGTCTGGACAGGCAATCCTGTGATCAACAGCAAGAGCATCGTTCTACGCCTGACCACTCGATCCCATTAGTTGCCTCTAACGACAAGAATGGGTTACTGAAGACCAATGCTAACCCGGATCTTCACGGGTATTTGGGTATTTTAGGCTATGGGCATAGTCACTATGTTAGGATGCAACGCGCGGTTTCGGTGCAAAGGGCGATGTTGCAATAGCTGAAATCTTGTCATGTATTTTATTCGGGCAGTGTTTGGCTTTTTAGTGAGAAAGATTTGACATGGATATCATGCAATTTAGAAAAATAATGAGTATATAACATTTAGAGTTAGAGTAAGTTGACCTGGGATGTTATTACAGATGTAACAGTGATGTAATTAAGTCTTAACAATGAAAAGCTCTTAACAAGGAAAAGCTAACACTAAAACCTCATTGTTCAATAATTCACCATATATTTATCAAACCTTCATTGTAATAGTATTATTAACCATCTTGGTGTCACGGGACCATATATTGTCGATCACATTTCAGTCCACTGTGTCTTGTTTCAACTGTGCATGTACAGTTAATACAAGGTTTGACGCTAACCAACCTCTGTCATGCAATCCCGTTTGTTTGCACGTAAAAGCCTTACATACTACTGATCGAATGACATTCACATGTGACAGTATTGATCATGCTAACACACATTGTTGTCCTGAGTGTAATCTGTGAGAGTGACCCTCGTGTATCTGATACTGTGTGAGATCCGTGATGCTGACGCTTCCATCACATGTCTACCAGAGTGTATATGTAGCCAGAAGATTATACACACAAATACAGTCGTGTAGAACGTTTGTCTGGAAGTAAAAGTTTGGTCCCTGCGTATTCTTTCTTTCGTCAGCATTTCTCGGTTGTGCCGAAACTTGGATAACTCGAACTATTTGCCTAGGTCCCTGCAACTTCGACACAAAGGTGTTTGACTTTACGGTTGTAATACAACAAACTTCGATATGTGTTTTGTGTTGCTTTATCATTTTTCAAGAATAATCTTGATCCGTATACTTTCCTATGATCGTCTACTCGTGAAGGTCCGGGTTAGAATGAACCTCCAGTAACCCATGCTTGTAAGAGGCGACTAACGGGATCGGGCGGTCAGGCTCGCTGACTTGGTTGATACATGTCATCGGTTCCCAATTGCGCAGATCGATGCTTATGCTGTTGATCACTGGATTGGTCATGGCTCGATTATTTACAGACCGCCGCCATATAGCTTGAATATTGCTGTGTGCGGCGTAAACCTAAACTCACTCACTCACTCCTATGATCGTCAGTTTTATATCAAAGTTTGCACTGTCATTGTTTGACGAATACATCTGACATTACAAAGTAGACAATGTCATTGAGTGCTGTCAAAGATAGAGCACGTCAATATCGTGCCACGAGTAGGCTAGCTAGTTGTTCAAGGAAAGGACCTAGGGTACACTCAAACTCCGCAAGCTTTCTTTCCAAAGACTCACACAAGCATGACCAGTTTCTGCACTTCCTTCAGGGCAAATACAACGCCAGGACAAGAATGTACAGCAAACTCCAAATGCTGAAAGAAATGTCAAGCAGGAACAATATGGATATCCCGGATGGAGTACGGTGACTACATCGCCATGGCAGGTGGAAGGGGTGCGGGTCTGCTGCAGTTTAAGAATGTGTCAGCATCTACACTTTACGGGTGTCTTTTTGTGACATGTGCTTGTACGTGGGAACATGTCCTGACGCAAAACACGTCTCAGTTGAAAGGATGCGGATATCATGGACTACTTCCAACTGATGTGAAGTTTATAACAGTAGTATTCTTCCATGAGTCAGGTAAGAAACACTTACTGTCCAACAATACAAACATTGCCCTCCATGGTAAGGTTTCATATAGGAAGCACCCATGTATATAATAAATTTCTTTATCAAGAGACTGAGACCAGTTTCTGCACTTCGTTCAGCGCAAATACAGCCTAGCAATGAACTATGTGTGTCCATATTGCTGAGCGATAGCCAGCTAAGCAACGCTAGGACAAGAATGTGCGGACAGCAAACTCCACATGCTGAAAGAAATGTCAAGCAGGAACAATATGGACATCCCGGATGGAGTACGGTGACGAGAGGTCAATGCTTATCCAGTTAGACTTTTTGTTTAAATGTATCGCGTTCATGCACTTTGTCTTTTAGAAAGTGGTCAAATGCAACATGTGTTAGATTTGGGATTACACTTTCTCAGTACAAGTACAAACTCTAGTACTGTTTTGGATTGAGACCACTTTCCAAAAGACTTTTGTACATTCAAAGTTTCGGCAGTGGGAATCGTGC